TAATATAAATTTAGTATCACAATATTTTATTCGAATAAGTTTAAAATATATATAACATGTGGCATCATAAAACTTGCTTGGCCTAATAGAAGTTAAGAACTCTTGGTGAGCATTTGTACCTAACTTTGGACAGTATTTCATTAACGACCTAACATAAAGGCTGTTCAGGAAGAGACGTCTCTTTTTAGAAGACAAATTCAAGCCTAATTGCAAAGAAAAAACTTTTGTGTCTTATGCAACATCTATGCACGATATTACGTTGCGATTATTTTTCATTTTTATCAATCGATCGCATCATTAAATAAGAAGTTCACAATAATTGGAGTTTATTATTAAAATCAGAATTAAAATTATTATATTTATCATCATATATACTACTCATTTTACACACTGATAATTTCCCCTTCTAAAATCAATTTTATTTTCTGTAACTTGCCATCAGCCATCACAGCACAATCACAAAATAACATTACAGTTTAAATGAAGTGGGAAGGAAAATTCTCTACTCAAGTGAACCGCAACTAAACGTCAACAAAATGGAAGGTAGTGCCTTGAGAGAAGGACTGAGCGGTGCTTGAGTCAAGTACCGCCATCCTTAAGGTAATGAGAGCGAGTTTTCCCAATGGCATGGGTCCCTTAATGCGATCTCTTTAGTTGATCGTGTAGAACACTTCCTGAGAAGAGGACCATAGACGTGAGAAGTTAGCGGAAGTCTTCCGGCTTGAACGCCCACTAAAAATTATGTGTCTAACATCGTCTGTCGATTTTTCTTTGACGAATAGGGGACAGTTTATATCGGTTAAAAAAGTAATCATGATTTTATACATAGTTTTAACACCTTTTTAAAATAACTATATCTAGATTTAGTAAGTTTCTACTGATTTCAGATGTAGTTAAATTTTTCACACGGTTGGAAATGAATTATGTAGAGAATTTAGTTTTGTGTTAGTGGTAACCGTTTGTCATCAATGAGTTTATTTTTTTTTAATTTTGGATTTTGATGCAGTCTAGCTTCAGGAAGATTTTTCTTTGCCATCGACTCGTCTAGAGCTTAAATAATGGGCTATATGTGCCACTCGTATTCTACTTCTAATGCGACAATGACGAACATGCACAGATCCTAGAAGGTATTCAAAGTTCGATTGGGTAGGTCAATTGCATTTATTATATATTGACGTCAATTGATTTCCGTATTGTTAACCGCGCCATCCCCATTTGAGATTTTTCGACTGTTAGCTGACTGGGGACTGGTTTTAGCAATTTACAATATGAATGTTTTCATTGTGATCTCGATAAATTTTAACTGGCTTCGTTTTTTAGTTTTGTGTTAGTGGTAACCGTTTGTCATCAATGAGTTTAAATCTTCTTTTTAGCGAATTTTCTCATTTATGGAAAAAATGCACTATTGTGCTCGCCATGTCCGTCTGTCCGTCTGTCTTTCTGTCTGTCCGTCTATCCGTCCGTCTGTCCGTGACCTCAAGTTTTCGTCGACGAGAAAATACGCTCTCTGTCACTCACTGCAGTGAGTACGTACTGAGTTATATTTTTTTTGGGATTTTGATGCAGCCTAGCTTCAGGAAGACTTTTCTTTGTCATCGACTCGTCTAGAGCTTAAATAATGGGCTCTATGTGCGTACTTCTTTTTATTTCACTCAACGATATACTTTAGAGCTTATTTAGTCTCGTGTAAGCCCTCTGGTAACAGTTGAGGCCCATAAAACAGTACAATGGAAGTTGACTCTGCTCGTAAATCATCAGTTATACTTCATTGGCAGTAGCTTGCAGCGCTTCGTGCTAGAGTTCATACCAGCGTCCGAGCAGAGTGAGTGCAAGGCAGCCTTACCAGAGGCTTATTTTGGGGAAAATTCGACCGCATATGTCACGGGACCTCGAAAAATGGCTCATAGGAAGTGGCTGAATCCATTAGGATTTAAATAGGTACTAAGTAAAGTAAAGGGTAGTAGGTAATAGGTAATAAGTAAAGGTACTCCTCTCATATTCTACTTCTAATGCGACGATGACGAGCATGTACAGATCCTAGAAGGAATTCAAAGTTCGATTCGATTGGGCAGGTCATGGCATTCATTATAATCAATTGACGTCAATTGATTTTTTTATTGTTAATCGCGCCAACCCCCATTTGCGATTTTTCGACTGCTAGCTGACTGTGGACTGGTTTTAGCAATTTACAATATGATTGTTCTCATTGTGATCTCAATAAATTTTAACTGGCTTCACTTTGGTTTGCATTGTGGAGAGGTTAAGACGAAACCTTGCCCCTGTCCCATTGAGCATTTTGATGACCTCATCTCACATCCGATTTTTGAGTAAGATGAGTCGGAGTTCCAAAGATCCAAGTCCCTGTTCTGGTTTTTGCCTTGAGCGTCAAAAGATTTCCCGGCGAACTAGCTATCCGAAAGTTTTCACCAACTTGTGTCATGAAATGTACCGGAGATAAAACTTCCCGATCAGACGAAGCTGACTTTATGTTTGTTGCGACTGCAACAGCTGGTTGGATTTTACTGTTGTTTTTTGGAGGTTTGTAAAGCCTCGCGCCCAACCTATAGATTTTTTAACTGGCCTTGAGACCGATATTGTTGGAGTTTATATCTCATAAACTCATTATTATTTTATTTCAAAGTAAATATCAGGATTCAAAATATTTTGGCACTTAATTCCTATGTGAATTAATTTCCGAACACACTAAGTGATATATCTAATTTTTTTATAATAAATGTCGGCCCTTGAAGGGCATTGTAGACAGCGTACAAAAGAAAAAAAAGTTGCAGAAAAAATCTCGCAGTAATTTTCTAGTAAGAATAAGAGATGGAATAGAGTTAACTACACCTAATTAATTTAGCAAAGCATAAAACGCAAAAGAACAAGCACGTGAAAAACTCTTAAATTGTTGCAGAAACGTTGAACAGCTGAAAATTACAAGCAAAGCTTACTAAATTCGCTTTTATTTTGCGTTTTTTTTTCTTGCGTCGGGAACGCAACTTGTCTAGCGACATCACTTGAGCTCGTATCTCTCAAACTAATCTAATTTTCAGCGAAAATTAAGAAAGAAAAAAGTCTATCGAGCATCATTAGCTGCTTTATTGGAGGCTATTAAAGGGCCACTTCCTGAGGATATATGACACGCAAGGCTCAAGATGTGGACGCTGCAGACATTAACGTCCAGACAATGCTGAAGATTACCTTGAGCTTGACTATTACTTCTCACGAGGTACTTCATACTTCTAAGCAGCGTGCTGAGCTGCCGCAAAAATTCTTCGTTGTCTCACTTCTGCGAATAGAAAAAATTAGCCATTGCTTCAATTTTTCCTTTCGCAGAGTGGATATAAATGTTGTTATATGCTTCAACATAGAAGTAAAAAGGATAAATTATACGCTCGTCGTTCAATTGATCCATTTTATCTTAGGAATTTAATTTAGCGATTAAATTTATTATCAAACTGAATGTTTGGTCAACGCACATGCAAGTAAATGCTTCTTTTTGCGAAATTGTATATTCATATCAAGTTCTTTATACTTTATTCTCGGCATTGTCGATCGTCAGATAATCTGTAATTTAGCGTAACACATCATAGTCCTCCTTGAAATGTGAAATCGACTAATTGTTATTCTTCACGAACGCTGCATTAAAATTTATCGGTGAAACTGTGTGTTCAAGGGGAACACAAATTATGATTTTACAGCTTGAGACAAAATCGAATTTGCAATGAAACTGGCCCTAAACTGACGAAGTGATTGCAACATGAACTTCTAAGTGTCCAGCACGATCCTTGGCCGGTCTCTGCGAAAAAGAAAACTAAATCATTCAATGTTCCAATTAATTATGTTTATTCTTCCATGATGCTCCTTATAAAATACTTTGTGTGTGAAAGAAAGGGAAAAATAATCATGTAGCAAAGAAAGGCTTCAAATTTATTTTATGTCTTTAGGCCGATCGTAATAGATTAAATGAAAATGGTTTATCATCAAGCACAAATTTAATTTTTAATGTTCTAAACATTTTTCTGCATCATTTTAAAAGTTCTTTTGCATTACCTTCGCGTTTTGAGATAGAATTAACAGAGGTACAATATAGTTGATAAAATAATAGACAACTTCACTTCGTTCATGACAAGATTGTTTCATTTACGTTCAATGATTTTGAAACAATAAATTTCGCAAAACGAAACGAATTCGCTTCAACTTCACTACTGAATATTGCAAAACACAATTCACTGTGAGGCATTTCTTCAGGGATTTTCCAGCTTTCAGTAAAAAATACTTGCGCATAGTAAAAATCCCCTGCAGTTGAATTCTGGTCTTGCAATTTCTTTGCATCAAAATGTGCACGTTTCGTTCCCCTAACGAGCGTTTCGTAAAGTAAAAAAAATTACGAGTGCATCTTTGGTGAGCTGCGTACGCTCCAGCCGTCTATGAAAAATTGTCTAAATAAAACTGTTTTCCAAGCAATTAATCCGTGTTTAATATGGTTGATTGAAGTTTTCTGGATTAAAATGTTACTAATTTTTTACACAAACTGAGAGACTCATATTGCTAGTAATTTTGATATTTTTGAGATGCGATCGCGCAATTTCATTACAGTTTGAAGCTGTTGATCTAATTGTTTGAAAAATATCGTGACGGTAGACCAAAGAAAAACGTTTAGAAGAACTTGGAGCATATAACATGAATAACATCGGCAGGACGACCGTTGCATTTGACAACCACAACGTATATTTTTAATTTAACGATAAAATGTTCGCTTTGAATCGGTGAATGTTTTAACTTCAACTCCACTGACTATGCTTGGATACAACACGATTAAATTTATGATATTTCAATCGACTACTTCGATTATCTTCAATGTCCGGCCTCTTCAATTTCCTAGTTAAATTTTTATCGACTCATCAATTTCTCCCAAATTAAACTTTACTATATTTCTAGTTGATAATCTAAGGCCTGAATTTTACCTGAAATTAAGGCTTGTAATAATAAAATTGCAGGGGTAAGCGGGACGAACAGCTCCTGCTGGATGACCACACTCCAGGGCCTCATCGACCGCCACTTTACCACCGGCCGGCTCACTTTTACCAGCGGTCCCACCGCTTCAGCCTGCGGGCGGGCGAAGAGTTCATTAAACTCAGGGAGGCTACCATAGCCGCGCTTGGTGGCGAGAGGATAAGGTAAGCATTTATGTGAAAGGAAAAGTCTGGAGTTATGAGAATATTATTATTGCCAATTAGAACTTTATTAAAGTCGGCGTGAGAGCCAAACATGATAATAGCTTTGATCGACTGCCGGAGGATCTGCGGTTTATTTATTTTTACCTAAAATCGGTAGCATTAATTTCAATATACTTACAGTAGTAAAATGTTAAATTTCAGCGTTGTTGGTGACCAATTTTTTTCTAAATACCCATCAATCAGTTCAACTCTCGGCCATTATGTAAGGAGCATTTTAATATTTAATTTTTAATTTTTTTATTCAAAAATATTACAATAATAAAATACAGTTATTCTGTCCTGCCCGAATGTTGCCGAACATTCGGCCAATTTGCAAACAAGTCGAAAACAAATTCCTGTCATGTACTCAGCTGCGATTGAAATTAATCAAACACCGCATGTAAATATTGTTCATTTCAGTTATTTTCATGACAACGTCAATGCGCAAAGCGCTTTTTCTCAGTTGAAGAGAGTCATTATTGCCACTCATCAAGATAACAGTGTTCATTTGTAAAAATGTTTATCATGACGCAGGTGTGTAGGTATGGTTTATTGCTTAATAAAATGATAAAAATCAATAAAATGGTTGACGCAAGGCTTGAAACTATTCGATCTTCTCGGGGATTGAACGCCATGCTTCCTGCCAAGAAGCCCTTCATTTCTAATCGAAATTCACATTTGTAGTTTGCTGGAAACCTCCCGAAAAACTCAAGCACATTGGGATTCGATTAATTCCTTTAATTTGTTTAATCCTTATTTTCCTACTGGTCTTAGTATATGAAAAGACGGGAAGTAAAGAAGGTTCCTTTTCACATAGACACCGGCTTTAAGGTGTGGAGAAATTTTGCTGACGGACCCGAATTTGTTAAACTTTAAACACTCTAGTTCTAGTGTGTATCATAAACATAAATTTTAATGTTTATATAAATAACCATATAACTCCCGCATTGTAAATTAGAGATAATTGAATCAGAAAATTTGATTTAAATTGATTTTTGTTGATTGAGTTTTGCACAAACTCAAGTTTTTACTATTAGAAACTCTCCTGAATTTAATATTGCAGCATAATGAAGGTGTTCACTGTTTAACTTCCAAGCTTAAGCTCAGCGTTATAACGCCAAACTTGAATTTTACGAATAACAACTAAACTAAAGTTACGTGAACTTAGTTTTCGGCTGATGATGTTGATAAACCTACCTTATAGGGAAATTCTAATCATTATAATTATAATTGTTGATTATTAAATATTTCCTTGGTAGTCTTAGCGTCACACTTGTATATTTGAATTGAAAGAAGCTATTTGGAATTAAATTTACTGTTTTATTCTGTTTTAAATAGGGAAAATATATGACTAGGATATATCAACACTATGAATTTCATATTGACGGTATTCACACTGCATTTATTTACAAAATGTCACTGTTGGCCGTGTGTGAGCGAGACAAGTAAATTGAAATATTTTAATTCATAATACATGTATCAATCTTGCATGGGTTCTTCAAACCTATGGGAGAATAATGAACTAAATACAAAATTTTTATCTCATATTTTATCATATCCATGATAATTAACAGAGCTAGAAGCCCTACAGAAGAAAAGTGAACCAAGAAGTATATATTATGTAAGGAACCTTAAGCAAGATTCCTACTCTTAATCATGCTACTGATTGGTATTTGAGGAATAATTAGACTGATTTTTTAAAAAGCGTAAGAACAGCAGTTAATGTTGAGGTTATACTTTAAGGACCTCATGTAAGGGGTATTTTTTCTACGCAAAATTCTTACTCCGAATCATGCTACTCATCTTTGTCTGAGGAATACTTTGACTGATTTTCAAGAAGCGTAAGAACAGCAGTTAATGTTGAGGTTATACTTTAAGGACCTCATGTAAGGGATTTTTTTCTACGTAAAATTCCTACTCTGAATCATGCAATGATCTGAGGAATACTTTGACTGGTTTTTAAAAAGGGTAAGAACAACAACTAATGTTGTGGTTAAACTTTAAGGACCTCTTTTAAGAGGTATTTTTTCTACGCAAAATTCTTACTCTGAATCATGCTACTGATCTGTGCCTAAGGAATACTTTGACTGATTTTTAAAAAGCGTAAAACAGCAGCTAATATGGTGGTTAAACTTTAAGGACCTCTTGTAAGGTATTTTCTCTACGGCCAGATGGACGAGTGCACTCAGTCTGGAGCTATCATCTAACAGTTCGAGTTGACTAGTGGTTATGACCCTTAGTAGAGGATTACAGTTTCGCTTGCTGCACAAAATAGCAGCTCATTAGAATTTAATTCGACTTTCTATTAGCCATGTATATTTGTAGAGAAAATCACGACGGGGACGTTGCTAACGGCTATGGTCTATCGTTTAAATAAATATTAATACCAGCAACAAAATGCATTCAAATAACAAAAATTCATTTGTCCAGATATATAAATTAGGAAGTGGTGAAAGAAAAAAAAATGCATATCGTGTCTGCTGCATCTCTTTGTACTGCATGGATCTAAATATATTGTTTTGATTTACTCTCAAAAAGACTAAATTTTTCAGAAATTATTTTAGCAGGTAAGTTCCCTGAGTCTTGTATCCATAGTATTCGCAGCAGTCATGCCAGATATTGTACGTCAGGGAACACTTAGAGCTGAAAGCTTTTAACATCGTGAGCTGATGTAAGCCAAGGAGCTTCAAGTCAAAAGCGGGTTAGTATGCGCTCAAATAAACTGACGTAGCCGTTCACTCTCACACAAGCATTCACCTGCAAACAAATAAATCATGAATTTCTCCTTGAGAGGTTGTGCGTAGCTGTAATTTTACGCCATGGTCTGCAAAGGATTTTTATTATCAGTTCATTTTATAATGTATTAACAAAACGAGAAAGAATAGAAAACAACTTCTCCGAAGTTGTAGTCTGTTGATTTTTTCGGTTACTCCTAACAACCACACCAAAGTTAACGCCTCTCCGTTGAAAAAAAATTCTGTTACTATCTTCTTCTAATTCAAGAGTCTATTTTAGGGTTCGAAATACATTTATACCATCTTCTATTTTATACTTATGAATAACTCCTCAAATTAAAGTTTTTATCATAAATCACACAAGGTGTTACTCGTATTCTTCATTGTAACTAATGACCATTGATGGAACATGCAAATGATAGCTCATTCACTCTTCACGATTCATCCTCTATCATCACCTAACGTACAGAACCTGCATACTCAATTGCATTCAACGCTTGCCTTCCCCGGGAAGCTCGATGGAGCGATGCTACGAATCTCAGGGTTTGTTGACAATCCATTTCGAGGCGCATTATATTCTGTGTCTGCGCCCGGCATCAACAAACGCACTCCCTTCACAGGACCATCCATCATCGCAGGCGGCTGAAGACGAGTCTGTCCTGTATCGACTGCCCCACACTTCAGTACAGCTTTCTTTGCTGACAATATAGGGATAATCAGAGGCCAACCATAGAATCTACGTTGGACGTAGTTGATTCGTCTCTGATTTCCTTTATGATGACTCGAGAGAAATCTGTCGAATTCCCGGAAGAGTTTTTGTGTGATATCTTAGAAAAGCATATCGAGCACTGTACCGTTCGATAGCAGGTGGAGTGAAATTCTAGATAACACTATACACACGAGATGAATTCTTGAGAATATGATACTTATGAGTTGCGATTGACGCTCAATATTTGATTTTCAAACTCCTTCTGTGCCATACACTTTTGTAACATTTTTCTTTCTAGAGAATTCCATGTAACTTTTTCATGCAATACTCGCTTAATCATATGACGCCTCCAAGTTTGGTCCATTTGACACAGTTTTACCTACCGAAAGCCAAAAGTCGTTTTTGACTTTTAAAATCAGAGTCCTAAAAAACAAATTTGAAAATAATTCTTCATTCAATAGTTCCGTGACATGCTTCATAAAATCTGTATAGTTCAAAAATTTAGGGCGAATATGTGTATTAGCATCAACCGGCCCTCCACATCGAGCAGAATGTGGTCGAAGATAGACGTGTTTACGTCAAACGTTCCATGTAATTTTACTGGAGGGACAGCCTTCTCAATTCCTCGGCCGCGTTTTGTTTGGGTCGCAGACTTTTTGCATCATTTGTCGACGTAGCTGAGACGGTCGGCAACGAAAGGTGTCTAAGAATGCCCGATAAGAAGACCTCTTGCACGCAGAACACGTACGTGGCTGGACCTTACAGCTGGCAAGGTCTAACTCTTGTCACCGCTGTTGAGCTCGAGGCTGCCTTGCCACGTCCCTTATTATGCGCAAGGTGGAGTCGAGGCTGCAAGGGTCACTAGAGTCACTTCTATCATGGGTCACCGGAGCAGTTTCATGGGAAGCAACAGCTTTTTCTTGAGCTTTGTGGAAGATTTAGTGATTACAATTACTGTTTCATGGCATATCAGAGTCCTGTCAAAGGCCGCTGGAGTTACTTCATTAACTGATAGCCCCATTAGACCTGCTTAAGAGATACTATTGTTGCCTTCATGAGTAGCCAAAGCCATTTTGTTGGCCGTTAGATTCGTTGCATGAATCTCTATGGCCATGTGAAGGATCACTGGGGTCATGGGTCAGTAAAGCAGTGTCATGGATCAATATAAGAATTTTCATTGGTCATATTGGTCTTATCACGAGTATTAAAGTCGTAGAATGAGACAGGATAAATTGTATAGGTCAGTTGAGACGGTTCCATTGATCAGTTACATCGAGGGCTGTGACCGTGTTAATTTGTGATGTGACAGTGTCTGCTGTGATGGGTTAATTGATTCTTTCACCAGCTAACAAAAGGTTTGAGATTTAGATTTAAAGAGAAATTTGATTTAACGAAGTGAGACCATTAAAGACGAAAATAGACCATTGCCTTGAAATCCAGGTTTCTTGGATGAAGCATGGAGTTAAAGTGCAACAAATTTCAGGAACTATTTTTATACGTCATCGCTTGGTCAACAAATATTGATAGGACAATTTTACACGACTTTATTTCATTCAATAAAATTTATCTCTTTAGTTACTGGTAGTTTTAGAATAAAATTGATATTTCGTTTTGAGATTGATGTAATAAATAAACGCCTTTTACATGTCTACAGCTCGAGCAATTTGTTGAGTGCATGAGTTTTTATGTCGGATTATTTTAACATATTGATGAAAAAATTTAAAAGTTATTAAAATTATTACATTAATTCTAAGCCGCTATTAGAGCCGAGTATGTGCGTCTATGAACACATTCATTCACTTGTACAGATAAAATTGTACATATTGCTACTCTAGCTTCATTGAGACCCGTTATTATAGCACCGCCTAATTATTTTTACCAGTTTTACAAATAAAGACTACTTTAACAATGTATCAACTTACTATTAATTATTTATAGGGCTATTTGACATCATGAGAGCATGATTTTTATAGACCAATTCTGTATTTGCGAAACAATTCACAATAACACCATTTTGATCTGAATCTGAGTCGTGCCCAGAAGCTTTTTTCCGTTCGTCACATCCACGAATATCAAACATTGCCTTCTGTGCCGATTGTTCAGAAAAGTTTAAGCTTCCCGATATCAATAACGATAAAAGCCTGAGTATAGATATGCACCTTTATTTTAACATGTTTCTTGCAAATCATTTGTAAACACACATACGTATAAAACATCTGTACCCAAGAACAGCAGTCACGAAGCACTATTCTACGGACAAAAATCTCCAAACTTCGGCCTCTTGAGCTTCCCATGAGATCAAAATAATGGGGACCGTCTCTCAGGAGTTCGCCTGTAGGCGGCTTGCTGCTACACGCTAACTTTAGCATGTTTTGTTTCCCTTTATAGGTGTAATGAACATGAGTATTTTATTTGTTTGTAAGCTGTACATCTCCCTTCTATCGATTTCGATAGAAGGATTTCGAACGAATTTCGAAATCCCTTCAATTTAGAAATTAAACTATGTCCATTTTTAGAATCATTCAAACAGACTAGCAGTATTCACTCATGTATATGATGAAAGCCATATATAACACAACCATTAGCATATGGATGTTGAGATAATTCTTTAAACTCGATTCCATATTTTCAGTTTAATTACGTCTCCAGCAACAATGTTTTTCCCCTTGACCTCTCCTACTAAACGATAAATAACGTTAGTTATACTTCATGATAAAAAAAATATTTTGAAAAATGGCCCTGAATTTATTTCACAAGTTCTTTAAAGAGAAAAAAAATGTCCCTGAATTTATCATTTCACAAGTTTTTGAAGAGAAAAAATGTCCCTGAATTTATCATTTCATAAGTTTTTAAAGAGAAAAAATTTCTCTGAATTTATCATTTCACAAGTTTTTAAAAAGAAAAATATCGTATTTATTGAAAAATTTATTTAAGAAACAGTCAATTATGCCAGCAGTCAGGCGCAGGATAAATTATTTCTTCGTCCATTTAATTTTTGTCATCTTGATCAGAAATGTTATTTTATGTATTTTCTGGATTTTAATTGGCAATTTCGCTCCCATTTTATCTGATTAGTTCCCTTCCTTTTGCTCTTAGATCCTTCATTAGCTCCATCATTAAGGCAGCGACAGTGATAAAAATCTATAACAGGGAGAGAGAGAGACCGAATTTATTCAGATAACATGCATATGTTGAGGCATGCAAATTTGTAAAATATTTCAATGTGGTCAAACAAGCCAAAAATACAAAACCCAAATCTAATTTATTCAATGAGTTTCTAATTTTCAAAGAGTATTAATTTACTCAAATAAACGAGTTTCAAAGCATATAACTCCGTGAGCAGAATTTTTGTCTCCTGAATTGAATTAAATTTGACAGTTTTTTTAATCATTTAATTCATTCATCATGAATAACGGCGAGTAATTTTTTAAGTAGAAAGTGGTTTATTTTGTTTCAGGGGCCACGATTTCCTGGACGATGACATGTTGGTGGACGAGTCCATTTTTGACCTGAGTGATCCCAGTCGGAGCTCTTCATCCAAGCGTCTCATTTTGAGCGACCCTCCCAATTCCAAGCAAAGACTCTCAAGGGAAGAATTACTTGAAAGTTTCGAGCAGCCATCATCAGATCAGTCGAAACTCATCCAAGAGATACAGAAACTGAGAGCCCGGAAGGAAGAGTTGGCAAAGTTACGACCTGGAGAGACTTTACGACAAGATCTTCACAACGAAGGCAACGTAACTCCAAAGACTCAGGCGCGTCAGTACGAATATCAC